ATGTTGTTGCTCCGATCTCCCTCGGTGTCCGACGATGCGCGTGGCAGCGTGTGTCCCATCTCCTCCGACGGCGTGCGTTTCCTCAACCCGTGCGTTCGTTCAACGACTTCGGCCTGCAGGACCCGGCATCGGGCCCCATGGGGCCACCAAGGTCAGGAGGGGAAAAAACACACAGACACAATTCATCGTCGACTCCCTGGGAAAAGATGGGAAAATATGGGAATTGGGCGGGAAGGCGAAAACCCCGAAAATATGGGGAAAACATGGGGGAATATTTTTTGTTTGTGTGTATTTGTTTGTGTGTCCTGGGGCCCCTTCATTTCAAAGACGGTTCCGGGGCGGAAGGCTGGCCCGGGGGAAGGGGCCGGGAGCTCCGAGGCCGCGGGCAGAGGCACAGATCACACCGGCGGACGTCAGGGAGCGCCCCACGAGGGCGCCAGAGATCTCCACAGGGGCGCCCCGAGGCCGAGAGGCCTCCGCGGAGGCCCCCGGCGCACCCGGACGAGCTGGGACGCCAGAAGCCTGGGGGCGGGGAGGGGGGGGGGAAACGAAAGCAGGAGGCCCTCCCCTGCTCAGCATCGTTCATCCGACCCCATATCCCCGTCCGGAGACCCCCCCCCCCCATCTCGGCGCCCCAGCTGGGGATGTACCCCTCGAAGCCCGAAGGAAACGGCCCATATCCTGATCCAGGGGGGGTAAAAATGACCACACCCATGGAGATGGGGGTCGATTAAACGATGCCCATGCTGTTTTTTTGCGGGGAGGTTCTCGGGCCGGACGAAAAGGGGGAATTGGGAAAGGGGGGGGTACGAAATCTGCTGCATGCAGCTGGTTTCGGCCCCACCGAGGGGCCCCCTCCTCGATACATGGCCGCCTCCGGCGCGGGGAGGCACCGGGAAAATCAGCTGTACGTGAGCTGATTCTCAACCCCCCCCTTTGCTATCCCCCCCTTTCGCCCGGCCCGAGACAGGTGGATGAGGGGCGGAAAGTGGGGAGGGGGTTGCGCGACGGACAGGAGCAGGGATGGGGAAAGTTGTAAGCGAACTCTGTGCTGACGAGTGTTGGGGAGGGGGAGAGGGGGAGGTGGGCGAGAGGGAGAGATGGAGCAGGAGGACGGGGGGCGGGAGGAGGAGGAGGCGGGGGAGGCACAGGAGGAGGAGGATCACAGTTCCCTCAAGATGCATCAGCGACGTTACAATAAACCCTCCCTTTCCAGGTCCCCTCCTCATATAAGCTTTTTCCTTTCACTACAATGCGCTCCCCGTTAAAGGCCAGCACGCTAGGGTTTTGTCGGGCCTGTCCCCCTACAGGGGGATTTTCGACGAAAAATGAAAAATACGACAAACATGCTTAAAACAATAGTCCAAACACAGTCTGGGGATTATTGTTTGAGTATGTTTTATCTTTGGGGGGCATGTTTGGCGCATTTTTTAATTTTTCGTCGAAAATCCCCTTCTAGGGAGACAGGCCCGACTTCGCACTAGGGGAGGAGGATCGCCAGACCCGACGCGGTCCCCCCGGCGTCCCCTCCGCGGGGCCCCGGCGTGGAGGGCAGGCCCGGCCCGCCCTCATCGCAGGAGGGCCTCGGCCGCCCGCGCGCACAGGCAGACCCCCCGAGGGGGGGGGGGAGGGGGGCACCCGCGGTAGCCTCCCAAACGCCCCCCAAACTGGCCCTAAAAACGCGCCCAAGAGGGCCTAACCAGGCAAAGGTATTGTTGTGTTTTGGGTGGTGATACTGGCATATCCGCTCCTCTGCTGCTGCGAAGCCACTGTGCTGTGACACCGGCCTGCCCGGCGGCAGAACATGAGTGCGCGCGAAGAGCGCGCGCGGCTCTGGTGCGTTGAAGGTTGGTTCGGCAATGCTGTTTGGAAATTAGAGCGGGTTATCCAGCGATGTCCCCAGTTCGACAAATAGCCGCCCTCCATCTTGCGACACGCTGCGCTGGAACAAACTCTGCGTTGCTCCGAGGCGAGGGCCCAAGTTTGGGAACGAGCAGCGCTCAACCCTCAAAACCTTTCTGCAAGGTGTTGGGGCGAGAATGCTCGCGGCGCGAATTCGGGAGCCCCATGCTGAAGAGGAGCCGCCCTCGGCGCGCTGGCCATAAGACCATTTTGAAAAGGGCCCCCCTTCTCCATCCTCGTACTGCTTGCAAGCTTGTTTGACGAATGCGCGCGGCGCTGAAGCGAGAACCACAGCTTGAGAAGATCACCCCTCCATCCTTGAGGCTGCAACAAGCTGTTAGGCGAGAACCACGTTGTGAAAAGGGCCGCCCTCCATCTTCATAACTGCTACAAGCTTTCAAGCCGAAGGCGCGCGGCGCTAAGGCGAGAGCCACATGTTCGAAAGAAATGGCCATCAATCCTTCAAGCTCTTGCGAAATTCTAGGGCGAATCTACGCCACGCTACGGCGATAGGTCTATTTTGAAAACGGCTCGCCTTCCATCCTTGGATGTGCTACACATGTTTAAGACCAATGTGCGCGGCGATGAGGCGAGAGCCACGTTTTGAAAAGGATCCGCCCCTCCGTCTTTGAAGTCATTGCAGATTTCAAGCTTCAGGATCACAAATGGTGGAGAAGTCTCAGGCGAACCGCCTGGCCCGCCCTACCGACACGTCGGGGCGCGCGACAGTGAGGAGTCATTTGCAAGGAAAGGGGACGGTGAAGGAGGAGGAAGAGGAGGAGGCACTGGGGACCTGATGGGGGCAGTTGGGACTGCCTGTAGAGATCCGTCTGTGCGCGACCCCAGAGGGTTGCCACATCCGCGAGGTGAGGAAAAGGGAGAAGACGGAGAAGAGGGAGGAGAACGAGGAGGAGGAGGAGGAGGAGGAGGAGGAGGAGGAGGAGACGGAGAAGGACTAAGGAAGGAGGAGGAGGAGGAGGAGGAGGAGGAGCAGGCGCCTTAGAGCACAGCCAGGACTACCTTCGGACGACGTCTGCCACTATCTACCCCCGCCTTCGGAATTTCAGAAGTGGCAGACGGATCTGAGGTTCTGGGGGGGCTTAGATTACCATCCATGCAGGGCTTGTGGCAATGGCCATCCGCTTGGTGCACCTCTTCGAGGCGGGTCTCCTCATGATGAACGCGTTCGCCATCCTGAATGAGAAGCGCTTTCTGCGGCGGTTCGGCCTGGACCAGGCGGTGGCGGGGGACAACTTGGGCCCGAAGAATCAGGTGGCGACGTTCCTGCACGCCATGCGAACCTTCATGAGGTTGGGGAAGCCAAAAGGTACCCATACCGCCACCCGGACCTCTCCATGGGAGGCAGGCCCAGCCGCGGCGATGAGGGCTTCCGGCAGGCCCAAGCAGGCGAGAACGATGCCAGGGTAGCGGTATCGGTGCTTTTCCCTCCTCTGACAGGTATCCTTTGGTTGCGATGAACCTGCTGATAGTCTTCTACGAGCTGCTGCTGGGATAACACTGGCGCTGGGCCGCGGAGGCGCGTGCGGGGACGCGCCGTCGCAGGCCGCGAGGCCGCGCGGCGAAGTTGCGGCCAGCAGCGCCACCGCTGGCACGCTCCTTTTCCTGCTCTTCCTCGCCATGATGCAACAGGGCCCTGAGTGGAACGGCCCCGACTCGAGACCGCGCGCTGAGCTGCGGCCGGCTTCGCCACCGCTGGCACGGCCCACCTCTTTCTGCTCTTCCTCGCCATCAAAAAATTGCTCGACACATGATTTCTCGGCGGTCCGCGCCCGCGGATCTCTTGGATCGGCGCGGGGCCCCCTGGCAGCGCAACCAGTGCCGCGCCTGGAGCGCTCCGCGCGCCAGGGAGGGGGCTCCACGCGGACCTCCGAGAAATCTGTACCTGCGTTTTTTGTGCGGTGCTCTGGTTCTTGGGCCGCTCCTCAGATCCAGGTCGGCTAACCTGGTTGTGGTTGAGGCCCGCCGTGGCCAGATGAGCCCATCCGTTCCCTGCAGAGCGCTCCCTAGGGCAACACGACGACTGCAGGCCCTGGTGCTCTCCCAAGAGCAGGCTCTTCACCAGGAGGAGGCAGGAGGAGGAGGAGGAGGAGGAGGAGGAAGGAGGAGATGGAGGAGGAGGAGGAGGAGGAGGAGGAGGAGGAGGAGGAGGAGTCGTTTTGTTGATTGGCCATCGGGCCCAGAGAGGCTCCCGGGAGGCCCAGAACCACGAGAAGAGTCCGAACCCCTTCGCCTCGGGACCTCATTTATCAGGAGGGAAAATCACATAGACACAGTTAATCGTCGATTCCCCAGAAGATATCGGAAAATTTGGGAAGTGGGGGGGAGACAAGAAACCTAGAAATCTATATATATATATATATATATATATGAAATTATGGGGACTCCTGTCATTTGTTTCTATGTATTTGTGTGTCCCGGGGCCCCTTCAATGTATTCAGCCACTGCTTACTGACCCACCCCAACACAACCTGAAGGCCCCAGGCCCCCCAACATTTCGGGTCGGTGGGAGGACGGGTTCCATAGTGCTTTCTCCATTTCCCGGAATGTCTCCCTACCGGACAATGACGGGCCCAGCAGCGACTTCGGATTGATTGCCGGTGGTTTGGTAGGCAGACACTCCTCATTGTCTTCCTCCTCCTCCCGCGCCTGCTCGGCCCTCCGCGGCCTGCAGAGCCTCCGTAGAGCCGTAGAGACGCCACCGCGTGGGGCTGTGCGGTCATCTCAATGGGAGCGGGATCGTGGAGGACACTGCGGGAGGGGCGGGGGGAGAGGCAACGGTGAGAGGAGGGGTCGTCGTCGAACGAGGGCCTGGGGCGAAGCCGTGCGCAGTGCAGGCTCCATGCTCGAAGACATGGTCGCCAGCTCTGAAGTTACGTCGGGCGCGTCCCAATACAGGAGGAATATTCAGACACAGTAAAAAAGGTAGTCCGGGGACAGTGTCTTGACTATGTCTGAATATGTTTTGATTACTTGTCATTTGTCTTCCAGAATCCGCCCCTGTAGGAGGATGTGCCCGACCGGACTCCTACGGGGATGACACCCGAGAACAGTGCCACCAATGTGAGAAGCGAGGGAGGCTAGAAGACCCGAGCGGGCTGGCGCCAATCCAGACCAGCAGGAGAAGGATGGGCCACGCGCAGAGGGGGGTAATGCGAGGGGGGGGAGAGAAGGCTTCTGAGAAGCACCCCCGGTTCTTAGAAGGCGTGAGCCTTGTCTGTAGATGTAACGGAGGATGACGATTAGTAAATGACCGGGGGTCGTGCTCACGCGGCGGCGCCCGGGATGACGATTAGAAAAAACTGGCCGCGGGCTGGAAAACTATTTTTTTTGAATCGTTCTCCTCCAGTCAGAAAGCTGTGCAGAAATAGCGGAAAACTATTTCTTGAATCGTTCTCTCCCATTTTTCATGAACCGTCATCCCGCATGAAGGCCCGCGCCTTCTGAGAAGCAGCCTCCTTCTAAGAAGCCTTCCCCCCTCTCCCCCTGCCCCCCTCTGCGCGCCGCCAAGAGAAGAAGCAGTGGCGGAGGGGGGGACGCCAGAGCGGAGCATGCCGTCGGCGCATCTGCCGGGAGCGGCCGGAGGGCGGCTCGAGCTCGAGAGGCGGAGCGCCACAAGGCAGTGGAGGTGCGAAGCGCCCTGCAAGAAGGAAATAGATCTTCCCCCTCCTCCTCCTCCTCCTCCTCCTCCTCCTCCTCCTCCTCCTCCTCCTCCTCCTCCTCCTCCTCCTCCTCCTCCTCCTCCTCCTCCTCCTCCTAGGATCCTCCTGCAGGACGGCGGTCTGCGCCTGGGGAGCACTGCCCAGAAGATGTCGGGAGGAGCACAGAGGCCGGAAGGGGTCGGGCGCCAGATCCAGAGAGGCGAAACCTGGGGGCGGCCCACGACGAGGGCGCCCGGGCGTGCGAAGAGCACCAGAAGCAACAGCGCACGCAGTGCACAGCATTGAGCGCAGCACCCGCACGCACTCACTCACTCATGCCATACTCCGGAGCGCGTGGGCGGAAGAAGACAAGGCCAGCCGATTCTCACCGCTTTGCGGGAGCGGCGGCACTACGGCGGTCGCGTAAAAACACAACGTGCGCGGCAGCAGGAGGAGGAGCAGGAGGAAGAAGGGAAGACAGCCGGCCGGCGAATGATACGGACTTCGCTTGGAACGTATCCGGCCGAAGGCTGCAGAAAGGACGTCAAGGCACCGAGCATCACATGTAAGGTATGTAAACAAAAAAAGGGGGCAGGCTCGGGTCGAAGGAAAGGGGGGGGATAGCGAAAGGGGGGGTACGAAATCTGCTGCATGCAGCTGGCTTTTGCCCCACCGAGGGGCCCGTGCCTCGACACATAGCCGCCTCCAGCGCCGGCAGGCGCCGGGAAAATCAGCCACGTGAGCTGATTCTCAAGCCTCCCCTTTGCTATCCCCCCTTTTCGCCCGGCCCGAGAGGCGAGAGAATGAAGAGGGGGGCACCACCAATGGCGCCGACCCAGGCAGCATCCGCCCGTGCCGCAGCTCACGAGCTGCGCTTCGATGCTGCTCGATCGGTGCCTCGATCGTGCGGCACACGCCCATGGTCGTGGACGCATGCGCGAGGACGACGTCCGAGCGCACGCCGAACTCCTTCACTGTCGCCTGGCGGGAACGCTGGAGCCACCAGGTCCAGAAGCGCCACGGCGGTGCCGACGACGTCCAGAGGCGTGGGCACGCGCGCGAGGTCGAATCCGCACATGGCGGAGTCCTCAACGGTCGACGGCAGGAACGCTGGAGCTATCTGGTCACGCGACGCCGCGACGGTGTGCACGCCCCTGGTCGCGGGGTGTGGACATAAAGATATATGCCGGAGCCGTTAAATCATGGCTTGCCCGCGCACGGAGCCTGGAGAAGAGGGGAGGGGAGGGAGCTGTTGAGGGGGCGCGACAGGAGGGGAGGGGATGGAGGAGGAGGAGGGAGGAGGAGGAGGAGAGGAGGAGGAGGAGGAGGAGAGGAGGAGGAGAGGAGGAGGAGGGGGGAGGGAGGGAGGGAGGGAGGGAGGGAGGAGGAGGACGAGGAGGAGGGCGAGGACGAGGACGAGGACGAGGACGAGGACGAGGACGAGGACGAGGACGAGGACGAGGACGAGGACGAGGACGAGGAGGGGAGGGGGTGGGAAGGGGGGACAGTCGGGCCGGACGAAAGGGGGGGGGATAGCGAAAGGGGGGGTACAAAATCTGCTGCATGCAGCTGGTTTCGTCCCCACCGCGGGGCCCGTTCCTCGATACATAGCCGCCTCCAGCGCAGGGAGGCGCCGGGAAAATCAGCTACGTGAGCTGATTCTCAAACCTCCCCTTTGCTATCCCCCTTTTTCGCCCGGCCCGAGACAGGTGGATGAGGGGCGGAAAGGGGGGAGGGGGGGCGCGCGACGGACAGGAGCAGGGATGGGGGAAGTTGAATGCGAACTCTGTGTTGTCGAGCGTTGGGGAGGGGGAAAGGGGGACGTGGGCGAGAGGGAGAGATGGAGCAGGAGGACGGGGGGGCGGGAGGATGAGGAGGCGAGGGAGGCAAGGAGGAGGAGGATCACAGTTTTCTCAAGATGCATCAGCGACGATACAATAAACCCTCCCTTTCCAAGTCCCCTCCTCATATAAGGTTTTTCCTTTCACTACAATACACTCCCCTTTAAAGGCCAGCACGCTAGGGGCCTGTCATTCAGGCCAGGCTCCTGTTATGCAAAGAACTGCCGGACATCCCTTCCAGCGTGCAGCTAGGAAGGAGAACGTGTATGATCAGATTGCTCAACGAGGTTTCCAGAAAGATGCCCACTTTGACAAAGGACCCCCCACCACTCGTGTGTGCAATTGCCGCGCAAGGTTACACATATGGCCATGGGCTTCCAGGAAATGCCAAGCGAGACCCCCATTTTGAAAAGGAGCCGCCCTCCATCTGTGCAACTGCTATATTGAACCTTCTGGTTCAATTTGTCCCAGCCATCCTGTGGTGCTGGGCCTCGTTTTGAAGAGACAGCGCACCGCGTTCCTCCTGCTCCTTGTCCTCCTCGCCCCTCCCCCCTATCCTCCCATCGCTGCCTCGGCGCCCCGCGCCCAGTCCAGCGCTCCGTGGCCCAATAGGGGGCTCCACCGAAGGCCTCATTGGCTGTGACAACAGGCGTCCCGCGCCACGCATTACTGCGCTTCGAGGCCCCACAGGGAGCCCCACCGAAGGCCCCAGCGGTTGTGACCACCTGCGTCCCGCGCCACCCACTACGGCGCTTCGTGGCCCCAGAGGGAGCTCCACCAGAGGCCCCACTGGTTGCGATCACATGCGCTCCGCGCCAGCCAGTACGGCGCCTCGTGGCCCAATAGGGAACCCCACGGAAGGCCTCCTTGGCTGTGACCACATGCGCCCTACGCCACCCAGTATGGCGCTGCGTAGCTCCATGAGGCGCTCCACCGAAGGCCCCAGCGGCTGTGACCACATGCGTCCCGCGCCATCCAGGAAGGCGCTTCATGGTCCCATACGGAGCTCCACCGCA